CGCTGACACACACACTCATGATAGACTACAATCATGATGGACGCTGATACACACAACCTAAATGTGTTGTATTGTTTGTATTTATTCTTTTCTTGCACGTTTCTGCATTCTGCTCAAGTTTTTGCATCTTTGCACTTTACCCACTTTTTATCAGCTGCTATTCAAAAAACCTGAAGAACGTTGTGCTGCTAACCTCATATCAGAACATGTTTCTACCTCATGCACCACCTACACATGCACCAATCAGCCCTTGTCTCTTAATTACTTGTTTAGAGTAGGTTACATATCTGTTTGTGTTTGTTGTTCTGTTGTGTAACTGCACTGCGTGTTTTGTTTTTGCACGTTAAGTTCTGTGTTGCACCGTGATCCTGGAGGAACTCCGTTTCATTTCAAACTACTTGTGCGTGGCTGAAATGAGAATAAAACCTCTGATCTGATCCGAAGCTCTTCCTGTGTGGGTTTCTTTCAGTTGAAGCTCTTCTAATGGACAAAGAAGCGGGCATGTTTGTGGTGAGGGACAGCACCACCCACAGGGGGAGCTTCGGTTTGGCCATGAAGGTGGACCAGTCGCCCACCTCTGCTGCCACTGCTGCCCCATATCCAGGTAAACAGCTTCACCTCTTCATTCCCACCCATCGACACAAATCCACCTGTTCACCTTCAAAGTATTAGATCTAAAAGGCGACTAGACTTCTTGTTTCCTGATTCACATCTCACCACCTGAAAGGCTTCAGCTCGGATCATGGATTGAGGGTCTCAGGCTGATTAACGCTCTGAAACAGTCGGAGTCTGTCCCACGGGGGTTGTTGACACGTGCAGTGTTTATCTACAATCCTAACGTGAGTTTCAGTCTCACATTCTGAAGTGTAAACGGTTGTGAAACCTTTATTACAGTCGACTTCCTGCTCTCCTAAACAAACATTTCAGGTGAGAGGTGAAAGGTCATCCAGATTCTTTCTGTTCCAGAACTGAACCTGTATCGGTCTGAATATACACGCTCGTTATGACAGGGTCAGTTTCCTCAGCAGGTGGAGACCTTTTGTAAAAAATGGAGTCTGTGCTCTTTGAAGAACATCTGGACGTTTTTGTCCGGAGGTTTCTAAAAGACTCCACCTGCTGGCTCTGGAGGCCGAGTGGCTGAAAGAGAAACGATGTGGCGTCTTTACTTCTGCCCCCGCAGCACAACTCTTTGGACTTTGTCACATTCAGTTCCAGGAAATAGTCACAAAAAACACTGAGCAGGTTGTCAACTTCCTGTCGGTACCGGAGCATCAGAGCCGGTCCTGTGAGCTACCTGGACCATGTCTGCATATTGAAAAAGTGACGTTACGCTACAGCAGGAGATCAAACAAGCGTGAGGGAGCCCTGTTACTTTATTTAAAACCATTAAAAGGACCTGGTTTGGTCTGGTCTGTAAAAACATTTGGGTCCATAAAACCAGCGATGGGTCAACCCGAAGGTCTGCAGTAAAATCTGATATTTACAGTGTTAAAGAAAGAAATCCATAAATAAAATCCCTGTGTACAGCTGTGTGGAGTCCAGATGTTTGCTGATGGTGCCTGAAACCAGGAGGCTTCCTGATCGGGGACAGAACCAGAACCCAAAACTGTTGAAATGGTCCTGTAAGAGGTCCACTTAACCGACTGCAGCAGTTCTTCAGCACCCTGCTGAATGAGTCATGGCTTCTGTAGAACCTGAAGACATCCTGAAGGGCAGGGAGACGGCTAAAACACGCAGGGTCGTGGTCCTCCAGGACCAGGACTGAAACTGATTTTTATTTTTGTGGTCATGGGGAGTCTCGTAACTCTTCAGGGACTGGAAGTTTTCCTGGACCTTTGACTCTTTTTGTGACTTTTTGTGTTTTTGTTTGAACAGGAGAGAGCAACTCAGACCTGATCAGACACTTCCTGATTGAATCATCAGCTAAAGGCGTTCGGATCAGAGGGTCTTCTCAGGAACCGTACTTCGGTGAGTAAAGTTTCTCAAACGGACCCGTAATCCAGACCTCTGAGAACTGAATCGTGTCTGGGGTGTGGGTGGGTTCTGTTACGAGAAACAAGCCCTTAAGATGTTTGTTTTCACCCACTGAGGGTTTATTATCAGCCTCCTCCTCCTCCTCACCATTCAGCTGACGGTTTTCAGGAATTAGACACGTGCATGGACCTGTCTAGTTCCTGCTCATATCAGCTCTCGCCTCTAACCGATGAGGTCATCAGATCAGAAAAATACATTTTCTAACCCAACAATAGCATCATAGTTAAACAGTTAAAATGTTTTAAGAAAATATTTTGCACAACGTACTGCAGGTAAGATACTGACTGCTCAAAGCTTAAATCTATCAAAACAGAAAAATGACTAAAACTCTGTCATTTTTATACTTATTGCATTAAAGTTTGGTGTTGTAGCTGAGGCTGATCAACACATATTGCAAACACAAGATCTTTATTCACAATTTGGCCATCAACTATTTGGAGCCAACTCTGTTAACAAAATATCTCATAAACAACAATACAGATTTTAATGAAATTGTGAGGAAACGATCGTTGGTCAACCCTGATCTGTCACGGTCTGTAGAGGTTTGGATCCAGGAATGTCGATTTTATTTGACCAAACTTTTATTTTCAAACAAAACAAACAAGAAACGCTGTTGAGGCAGAGAAAAAAAAAACTCCCGCAACACGAGGAAGAAGGAGAATCACACGAAGAGGCACGGATTGACTCAGGAAGGACTAGAAGGCCCGAGGCTGATGAACGGAGCGGCTGCAGCTGTGGCAGGGGAAACAGAAATCACAACATCTGCCTCTAAACGACCTCAAAGACGCAGTGGGACATATTCAAGATGGCCGCCAAAGCTAACTGAGCTTAGGAAACCGAATTGATCGCTCAGTCGCAGACACAGTTCTGAGCGAGATGTTCTGCGTTATGTTGTCAAGATGGCCGCAGCTCCAAACGTCATTTCTTCAGTTTAAACTTTGATCTGGAAGGTGGCGGGCGACGTGCATTCCTCACCGGCGTGCTAGGCCTTTAGTTTTTATGTGTAAACGTGTTTTCTATTTCTTTATTTTAACCGGTGCAGTTAATTTAAAATCCAAAACAAACAAAACAACCTGAATATTACAAACATGTAAATATTTAAATAAAGGTTTTTAACGCTGACTGGTTTCTGCAGGAAGTCTCTCTGCGTTGGTTTACCAGCACACCATTTCTGCGTACGCCTTACCCTGCAGGCTGCTGCTCCACCACCGAGGTAACGGACCTTCAGCGCCCGACGGGCCTCCACGGACTCGAACGTAAAAATAAACAAACGTTTCTGTTTGTTTGTGCAGATTTGTGCAGAGCGGAAGAGAAGACGAACGAAAAGACGGCGGACGACAGAAATAAAACAGGTATTTAAATTCGTCAACGCGGTTTAACTCTCGAACATCGGATCAGCTTTAAATACAATTCTGTGCAAAATAAACCAGTCCCTTCTTTTAAATACTAATCTGCCGGAAATACAAATATCAAATTTCAATGACTTTTTAAAATTTAGATCAAGGCTCATCAGTTTAACAAGCTCCCATATTCAGTTTTATTAATATCAACAACAAAAAAGGCAATTTATTTATTTATTTTTTACATTACAATAATCCAGTCCAGGATTTTGGGATAATCCTCCACCACCCTGGACTGTCCAGATTTAACAACCACAACTTTACGTGTTTGCCGTTAATAATTCTTACGCTCAAGTCAGGATTTTGCGATGCATTGTGGTCCAGATATATTCACGCCTGCTTCCGGTTATTTAACATCTAATTAAAATATTTTGTTTGTTTGTGTACACTTACTCATATCACTAACTGACCTCAACAGACTTGATTAGGAATTATCCTTAAGTATAACGTGTTATTTTAGCGTTCACTTTCATCAGCGGCTGGTGTTCTACCAAAATATTCTACCGTGGACTCCGGTAGTAGCTTGAATGTATTTGTGCTGGGATCTGTTAGATCCGTTAAAAGATCAAAGATGCTTTATTTTTTATTTATTTTTTAACTGGCATGAATCGTCCCCGTGTCAGATATGGAAGTATTTTATAATCGTATATTTTCCCACTCTATAACCGTAGTCGGATGTGCCGCCATTTTTGACTCTTACTGAACCAGACAGACCCCCGAGCTGCGGCAGCTCTTGTTTTTGATCCAGCTACAAAACGTTTTTTGATTTTCTTTGTAATTTTTTAAAAACGTGGACGATCGTTCAGCCCGAGGGAATGTGGATTCACCGTTTTGTACCAAATGTTTACTCGTGCGCAACACAAGTGTGTTTTGTTGTTTACTTCTACTGAACCAGAGAGAGACCTTAGATTTGTTTACCTGAGCACTGTCATCTGTTTACATTTGTTTGTTTATTTACAGCCTTAACTTTGTTTACCTGAGTGCTGTCATCTTTGTTTGTTTGTTTGTTTACAGCCTGTAACTTTGTTTACATTGTAGTGATGTAGGGTTAGGTTACAACATGACCACTGTCACCTGTTTACATTTGTTGCTTATAGCATGTAACTTTTCTTACCTGAGCACGTCATTTGTTTACATTTGTTTCTTTGTTTACAGCATGTAACTTTGTTTACCTGAGCATCATCATCCTTCTATGTTTGTTTGTTTACAGCCTGTAACTTTATTGATCTGAGCACGTCATTTGTTTACATTTGTGTGTTTGTTTGTTTACAGCCTGTAACTTTATTTATCTGAGCACGTCATTTGTTTACATTTGTGTGTTTGTTTGTTTACAGCCTGTAACTTTGTTTACCTGAGCGCAGTCCCCACTGAGATGCTGACGGGCCCCTGCGCCGTGCAGCGAGCCGTGACCTCCACGCTCCTGATGCCTTCAGGTTCCTTCACCCCGACCATCGTCAACCTGAAGGCGTCTCCGAAGGGCGTCACGCTCACGGACATCAACAGGAAGTAAGGAGAGACGCTTCCTGTCGCAGAGTTTTTCATCACCGCGCGGTTTCACCTCGACTGCTCTCGTCTTTTCAGGCTCTTCTTCAGGCGCCATTATCCCGCTCACCTGCTGAGCTTCAGCGGAAACGACCCCGACAACCGTCTGTAAGAGTCCGAACCGAGAACCACGAGTTCTTCTGATTGGTTCTCGTTCAACTCATCACTTTTCTCTTTTACTTCCTGCAGGTGGTGGAAAGGTTCAAACTTTGGTGCAAGGTAACGGTTTTTAAAATAACGTGTTTTTCTTTTAGTTTTTGCCTAAATGTTCTCACCTGTCGTGTCTTTGCCGCTGCAGGATGTTTGGTTTCGTGGCCAAAGGCGTGGAGGTCGGCTCGGAGAACGTCTGTCACGTCTTCGCTGAGTACGACCCCCTGCAGCCCTGCAGCAAAGCTGTGAAGTCCATCCAGGCCGCGCTAACCCAACCGTAGACGTACGAGCGTCGAGTTTTTATCACCTGATCACTCCAACACGGCCGCTAACGCCAGTTTGTCACTGCTGATAAACTGGGAAGGTTACAGTCGGACTGGAACACCTAAAACATTCATTAGTTTTATTACAGTCAAATAACAAAATGCGAACGTTGCATAAGTGAAGATACTTTGATTAAAGTTTGTACTTTGTAAATAAACATTGATTAGTTTGTAAAAGTGCCGACAAAAATACAAATTTAATTTCCTAAGTGAAAGATGGATGTTAAAGTTTTGGACGCATCTGAACGATACGAAATAATCCTAATTTACAGATTATTTTACCGGCTCAGAGTTGGCGTCCTTGTGATTTCCGAGCAGGACGTCTCTGAAGAATTAAAGATTATTCTTTGTTTACGTGAGCTGAGCTCTCGTGCCTTGATACGCCGTCTCTCTGGGACAGTAAGGTTTGTGGGGGGGTTCAAAACCAGTCTCTGCTACTGGACAAGAAGGTCCGGCTCGCAGTCGTCGCTTCAGGAAAGACGACGTCTCTGGTTTGAACTTACAGAACCTGAAGGATTGAAGTGAGCAACGATGAAACCCCCAACAGGTTCACGCAGTCCAGCGATGATCAGAGGCCGCAATAAAAAACTGAACATGAACCAGAACTGGGTCTTCAGACCAGCTCTCTGCAGTCCACCTTCATCTCGAGGACAGCGAAGACTCTTTAGAGGACAGATTCCTAGAAGACGACGGTAGTTCACTGAAGGAGGTCATCAACGTTTAATGAGAAAGAACGAAACAGAAAGTCTGAGGCTGAAACTTTCCAGAACTTGCGTTTAAATGTTTCGTTACATTTGTACATAAATGTGAGAATTTCTGAGTTCCAGGTCGGAGAAATGAACTGAAACGCCCCAAAAGTTGAAAACTCACCAGCCCAAAATCCAACATGGCTGCCTCACTCCTGAGAAGACGCAGCAACGTTCAGTTCAACGGTACCATCGGACCGGAACACGCCGCTGCAGCACAACGCCGACGACCACAACGCTGACGACCACCGCCATCGGCTCGTTCTGCTAACGTAGTTCGCACGATCACTGAGCGCGATGGTTTAGCGCTGGGCTGTTCACACTTTTTCAGCCTGCGAGCTACTTTTAAAACGACCAAGTCAACTTACTGTAAGGCACAACCATTAATGTTTTTTCTATGTTTATTGGGGAGGATAAACAAAAAAATGAGCGCGTTTACATGAAAACGCTGCTGTTTCCATGTCAGTCGTGTTGCCAGATAAGAAATTATGAACTATAGTGCGGATTTAAAATTATAGTATTTTGACCTAAGCTGTCATGTGCTGAGTAAAGATATTCTAAGATGAGGTGTGTGTTTGTAGAACATGTGCACAGAAAAAGGTAAATAAGACATTTTAAATTTATCTGGCAACCCTGACAGGGCTCAGCTGCATTCATTACTCAAGCTGCAGCTGCATGATCACAGTTAACGTCCAAACTGGTGAAACTAACTTTGGACCCTGGATTTTATTAGTTTTGCTGAAAAAGGGTGAGTAGCACAAAAACACACTGCCCTCTGCCATTTATTAGAACTTTTTTGTTCTTTATTATAACTGTTGTTAGTGCAGAAAAACTGGACTGCAGCCGCCTGCAGTGTGCATGTGCCACTTCACTTGTGGAACATTTCATGTCTCCATGGAGGGTTCCCTTGAAAATCTCCACTCTCTGAGACCTGGCTTCAGAAACCATCGGTTTCAGAGAATGATGTCGTGTAAACGGGGCCTCAGACTGGCTGCTGTCAATCAAGTGACAAATTTCATATAGATGGATGATCGGCTGACGTCTGTTTTATTAATGCCATGAGATCTACCAATAATATCTTTGCGATGGACAGGTAGATCATGATCGGCGTATTGAGCACTCCTGGTTTAGTGGTTCAGTTGGTCCAGTCATTCATCCATGGGACCAGCACCTTCACATCCACTGAGACCCTAATGACCCTCAGGACAGAGGGGCGGGGGATTTACCCGTGAGTTCAGCTCGTTAAAACACAAAAGAGCAGTTTTAAAGTTTGGACCGTTCAACAGTTTTAGTGATCCCCTCAGTGTACATTTTGGGTTGAATGTATTTATTGGACTGAATTCTCTGTAAATTTATTAAATTGTATGTTTGTTTTTTTTATATTGCACTGAAAAATAAAAAGTGTCGGAGCAGCAGATGTTGTAAAGTGTTCGTTGTCATCAAACCTGAAAACACAAAGAGAGCGGACAGACATCACACCAGCTGACTCATTTCTGCTTTATTTGAAACCACAAATCTTGAAACGAAAGCTGCTCTCTGGAGTTACAGAGCGCTCAAACTGAAGGCCGAAGCAAACGAGCACAGAGCACTCGAACTGAAGGTTGAAGCAAACGAGCACAGAGCTGCAAAACAGAAAAGATAAACTGGTTTCAGTCCTCTCAGGGACCTAAAGGGACCTGAAGGTCTTTAGTCCAGTTTTAGCTGCAACTCCCTGTAGGGGAATATTTAGCCACAGCGCCCTCTTCTGGTCAGCAGAGGGAAGTTAAAGTCTGGATCCACAGCAAACAATGAAATAATTTTAAATTAATACATGAAGGAAACTGGAATTTTCTCACGAGGAGCTTCTTTAAACACTCAGTTTGCAACAAACACGCAAGAACATTAAGTAAATTGTATTTATGGTTGAATTTTAAGGAGTTTTTTTTCATATTTCTGTAGTTTCAGAAGAAACGTTGCCGTAATGTGAGACATTAAAAACTAAAGAGTTCTGGGGAAATAAACGTGTTTTTTCAGGTTAAAGGTGTTTATTTAGATGTTTGAACTCACAAATGGATCAGATTCATGGTCGACTTCTGGACACCTGGGGCGGGGACACCTGTCCAACAGGACTGACCGAGTCCAAGAACCTTATTGTAGTTCTGCTACAAGTCCCCATTCGGACCAAAGTTCTGCAGTTTGGTCTTAAACACATTCGTAGGCATCGACCGTGGATGGCAGGAACCAAAACCTCAGGGAGCCTGTAAACCTGGACCGCTCCCGGGTCCATCAGTGTTTAGAGACCTCGAGTCAGACGAATCAGACTTTCGTCAGCAGTAATGAGGACGCTGCTCCGGCCCATGATGGTGAAGAAGGCGATAAGAGCTGCCGCTCCTCCTTGTAAGGATTCATATGAGGAAGACTTTAAGTTTTCTGGGTCAGAACTCTCTGGAGTTCTTAGCTGGAAGTCCTTGGGGAGCCGGAGAAGGTCCCGGGGGGGAGAGAGAGTCTGGGTTTCCATCCTGAACCCGCTCCTCCCATCACCTGATGATGAATAATTAATCTAATGAAACTTCAAGTGAAGCGGAGAGAACTTTGAGCCCAAATGTGTTTCCACTCAACAAACTTCTGAAGGAAACTAAAACCCAGAAGAGGGACTCGGCCTCCTGATCCGATCCAAACCTGGTCCACAATAAATACGACGATGATAAACTCCTGAAACGATAGAAAACTACGACTGGAACTTGTTTCACCAGCGCTTCTTGAAAAAAGCTGAAGGCTTCTCCTCGACAGCTGATGGTGGAAGGATGACATCTGGAAATGCTTCAGTCGTAAAAGTTTTACTGGAAATCCTCCAAAGAAATGAACTTTGTGTGGTTTATAGAATCCTGGGGGGTCCAGCCGTGGCCCTCGAGGGCCACTGCCCTGCATGTAGACGTTTCTCTGCTGAATGAACGAGTGACTACGAGGCTGCTGCAGAACCCAAAGACCGGCTGAAGAGCGGGGCCCGACTAAAACATGCAGGAGAGTGGCCCCTGGGGGGCCAGTATCAGACGCAGCAGCAGCTTCGTCCTCCAGAGTCAATAAAGATTTATTTTACTCAGTAAAGTCTGAAACGACGAGAAGCACTTCCTGTTTGTCTGCTCTGACAGAAATCATCTTAAAGACTCTAAAACTGAAATGAAACGTTTCTCCGGCCGGAGCCGGGGGTCTGATGTCAAAGCGTGACGGTGGGTAGCGCGGGTTCTGACTCAGTCCGTGATGGTGGAGATGCTGCGGGACCGCTTCATGATGAGGCGGACCTCCACATCGGGGAGGCTGTCCTGTTTGGTCTGGGCGCAGCCCTCGTCGGCGGCAGCCATGTGCAGGTCGAAGCGCAGCGACACCGACTTCTTCCTGAGCTTCGGGTTCCCTCTGAAGAACGAGCCCTCCCACTTCTTTATCACCTGGTCGATCTTCTCCGTCCTGCAGGAGGAAAGACAAAACTTTATCCAGGTGTGGATGGGGCGGCCGTGTAAACACAACGGTCTTTGTCCAGTTGTCTTTGTGCAGTCTGGTGATTTATTGAACTCCATGTCTCTCAGGCAGAGAGAGACATCATCTGGCTGCAGGTCAGAACTGCACCTGAGTGAAACCCTCAGCACTGAACTCATATTTCATAAACATGCTGAAAACAGAATGAATAGATTTATAAAACCTTGTGGAGGGGAGACAGTGCTTGTTGGATAAAACTGTATAAAATACAAGCATTACTGAGACAGGGGTTCATATGTTTAGTGTGTGTAAATAGTCATACGTGTTTTATTTAATGTATGTAATTAAATCTGTTTAAACCCAAATATATGAATAATTTCAAACATAAACTTCAGTCACTCTCCCTCTGAGGTGGATTCAAACAGCAAATGTAACGCCAGCGCTGAATCTGGAAAGACTGCAGTCCAGCTACTGTATGTTGTCTGATCTGGAGACAGAGACATGGACAAGAAGACAGGAGACAGAACTGGAAGTAGCAGAGATGAAGATGTTGAGGTTCTCCTTAGGAGCGACAAGGATGGATAAGATTAAAAATGAGATCATCAGAGGTACAGCACAGGTTGGACAACTGGGAGATAAAGTTAGAGACCAGACTGAGATGGTTTGGACATGTCGAGAGGTGGGACGGTGGTTTGGACATGTCGAGAGGTGGGACGGTGGTTTGGACATGTCGAGAGGTGGGACGGTGGTTTGGACAAGTCGAGAGGAGGGACGGTGGTATGGACAAGTCGAGAGGAG